CACTATGCAGCCTTCTGGACTCCTGTCATGACAATAATACCTAATCACATATCCCTTTTAAATAGTTCTCTTCCCCAATTTTCTTAACATTTCATTGTGTGATCCTCGTGTATGCTGGGGACAATGTGTACCCATTCTCTCTCTTCACGGAGCCCATCTCCTTACCTCCATGTCCCTAATCCTCCTGGAGGATTAGGCTTGTGTTAACCAAGTTGTGGTCGAGTTGACTACAGCTCTTATCAGCCCTGTGAAGAACACAGCTCAGCCTTGCCATATCTTTTGTTTATTAAGGTTATTACTATCTTTGCAGCAGGCATGGTGGCAGCCAGACATCTCAGACCTGGGACTGTAGAGAACAGTGCGTGTTGACACTGAATTGACTAGACAAGAGTGAAGCTTGATGCAAAAGGATGATGGTGGAGGATCATGTTTCAGACAGTATCAAGGAGATTGATGTGAAAGATAAGCTTTATCAGAGTGAAATGTACAACTGAGAATCAAAGGCAATATTAGTTCAAAGAGAAATTCCAAACTATTGATTGTGCTGCTGAACTGTGGCATTTGGACGGAGAAACAGGGTCTAGTTGTAGCTGCTGATGAATTGTTTCCTCTGCATCTCCAGATTCGAATAAACAGAACTTGCAAATTTAAACAATCAAAATCAGAGAACAGTTATTCTTCGTGGATTGTGTTTGTATTATTTTTTTTATCCCTTTACACTGAGTGGGTAGTCTCGAATAGCCCACTGCAATTATTGAGAACTTGAAGTCATGAGTTTATGGCCATAAGTTTGGCCATAATAAATAAATAATTATTTATTATCTAGATGGGCCTGTTGGCCAACTCTTTACTACCTCAGTATTTTCATCATCAAGGAATAAGATTATTAAACACATGTGTCTATGGATTAGTGGCTCAGTAACATTAACATCTGTTTATTGTGATAGACTAGAGCATGAGATAAGAGTAGTTCTTGATTCGGCAATGTTCAGTTATTCTTTTTTAGCCTGTTCAATACTTCATATACTATTATTTAGTCTCATTTAAAAAGACAGGCCCTGGCTATATGATGACTGAAATGTAATAGAGACCAGCCACTAAACTTTCATTGCATTATAATGTGCTAGGAATTCTAATAGAGAAGTAATAAGGCATGGATGGCACACACAGGAAGCTCACCTAACCTGATCTTGGGTGATGAGTGGGGTAACGAAAAGCTATGTAAAGGTAATGACATCTAGTCAGAAATCTGAAGACTTAGTAGAAGCAAGGCAAGGAAAAGGAATAGGCAGGGAGGAGATTAATATTCCTCTGGGGCAGAAGGAAATCTTTGGACAAAGGCTGGAGTAAAAGAGCACAGCACACAGGAAAAACTCAAAGTACCCGAGAGCAGCAGTGCCCAGAATACAAGGTGCACAGTGATGGGAGCAGAAAGGTAAACCAGAGCCCGAACAAGAACTAGGAAATAAGCTTAGAGGTTTGGACTTTATCCTAAGGGCAGGAGAAGTAACTGAATTATTTTGTGGAGGAGCTCTAAGATTCTATGCATTAAGAAATCTATAGAAAATACTTAAAATAATGAAGTTTCTAAGTTTCTTCTCTACTCCAAAGGGGAAAAAATAGATTTAAACAGTAGTAGATCAGACTTGAACTTTCACTGACCACAGACATTCCTTAGATCTGAGGAAAGAAAGTTTTAGCATGTAAAGTTTATTGCACTAGCATGGTTGTAACGAGAAATGACTTGATTTTAAACTTCTAAGATGTTTGGGAGCTCTGGTGGCCTAAAGGTAAGAAGCCATGATGCAATCCCACAGGCACGTGGTTCAAATCCACCAACTGTTTTGTAGAAGAAATATGGGCAGTTTCCTCCCATGCAATTTAGTGTCTGTGAAAACCCTCTAGAGGGTCAGCTATGAGTTAGAACATCTTGATGGCTCACAACAACAAGAGGTTACCAGGGATACGAATTGCCAAGGGACATGTAATCATAGCAACAAAGCTGCTTATCATACCAGAATCCCTGTTCCCATCAAACAAATATGTCTTCATGTTGGTGACTGATTTTTATTACATTTTCCCTTTCAGGTAAAAAAAAAAGTATAAAGGGAAAATGTAGGATTCACCTTTTAAGATAGCTCTTTATCTTACCTTTAAAACCACATTCTGCATGTTTTATGCAACACAGAAAGTAGTGAAGAACTTACTTTGGATTCAGTGATTACTATATTGATAAAAACATTGTTAGGAGCAGAACCATTTCTGGAGAGGCAGAACTTTATTTAACATTAAATATAATTAATATGAAAATCACAACCCGGTAGTAACAAATGAGCTTACCTTTTTATATCTCCATAGCATGACTTAATGTTAAAGATGTTCAAACAGTATCCTGTTTACTCTAGATACAGCAGAGAGTTTCTATAGTCTGAATGAAGGAATGATAACTGCCGAACAAGCAAAACTCTAGGATTTCAATACCTTAATATGTTGTTGTTGTTATGTGCTGTCGAGTTGCTTGTGATTCATAGCAACCCTATGTACAATAGCCCTGAAACCTTCTCTATCCTGTGCCTACTTTACTGTTTCTTTTTTTTTTTACTCCATGCCACTGTTTATTTCTTTTTCAATACATTTTTCCATAAAAAAGAATCAGAGAATTATAACTTTGCAATGATAGGCTATTTTTAATTGTGGTTTTTGTTATTAATTTTAATGAACATTTACAGAGATTTTGAATTTCCCTTCATTCATTGTTGCACTTTTCTCCCCACCCACCCCCACAACCCCAGTTCACTCTTCTCTTTGAAAAGTAAAAGAAAAATTC